ATTCAACTCTTTAACACTTGCAAGGGCACAGGCACAACAACTCTGTTGCACACTTACAAGTTTTGAACAGTTCATCACTTAGTTTATCAGTATAGAGGGGAAACAGGCATACGGGCATGCGTTTATTCTTTGCTTCTTTTGATCATTTCTGAGGATGTAAATCACAGTGGCGACAATTATCGCCAGATTTTGTGGAGGTATTTCCACCAACCCCACACGGACCTTAAGTACATCCACATTGTGGACGTAATAATCGCAGACGTTACTTTACGTCCAAATCATTGGACGTATTTTCGCAAAGCGCTTCATTTACGTCCAAACTGCTGTGGACGTATTTACCGTGGACATGTCGGGTTGCCCCCAACTGAAATGAGTCCAGTTTTAAACTTCAAACTTAACGGTGCAGCAACACCCCAGACCCACCCTTCGTCAGCTGGACCTTAACCCGCGAGTAGTTTTTCTGTCATGTTTTTCACAGTAGTACTGTGAAGTTTCACGGTTCAAACTCCAATATTTTGTTTTGGCGGTCAAAAGTGCTATTAGCTGAGCGATTAGCGAAGACAAGTATTCCACTGACCCAGAAAGTATTATTCTGTATGTTTGTCTGTCTGTTTCTTTGTTTGGTTGTAAGCACGATAATAGCAGATGCGCAATAAAACATTCCGGCAAGGCTGAAATGCAGAAGAATGCGGGGAAGAAGAAAACGGAAATCGCTAAGCTTTAGCATCTCTAAATTTGCAAAACACCCAGGTCAACCACTCGCGGCATCTTTTTAGACAGTCCCTTGTGGTCTGTCTCTACCCGAAGGTAAACGTTTCCCGTTTTGATAAATATTGCCGGTTATCGTTATCCAGTTTTGATAAAGATTGCCGATTGACGTTCCAGTTCCAGTTTTGATAAGCCGATTGACGTTGATAAAGATTTCTCTTGCTATAATATGAGGCTGTGGGGGAAGGCTTTCCGTCCCGGCCGTCCGTGCCACGGCCGTCCGTGCCAAGCCCGGTGGCAGTCCCCTGTCATCGCTCTGGTTGTGTTATAAACATAGCGCCCTTATCCCTTGCTTCGCGCCAGGCCATGGTGGGCCACCCAACCCCCACTTGAGTCTCGCAGCGCTGCTCCTCGCTCCCCACGCCCCAACCCCTGCCCTCTTAGAGCTCATTCGGCACCGCGCGCCACATGGCCCGTCCACTTGAGAAGTGGTCTCCAGTCTGATCAAATTTTAAATTTGAACCAGAACGCTCTGAAATATGAACGTGCTTGTTTTCGCGCACGCAGAAATTACGAATTCAGCAAAATTTGAATGGTGATTCTAGCATAATTTGCTGATTTTTGTTGTTTTTGATTTTAACCACAGCTTTCTGAAACATGATAAAGCGCTCCTGGGTAAGGTGAAAGTATCCCGTCTTGATAAAGGTTGCCGTTGCCGATATTGCCGATGAACGTTTAAGTTTTGATAAGCAGATTTTCAGTCTTATTTTGATGCCTTATTGAATTTAAAGATACGAGCCTTAGCGTCTGTATTTTGAATTTGCTTTTGGAGCTGGACTGTCTCGTTACCGGCCGGCAGGCCAGTTTTTAAAGTTACTAGCAATTTTGTTGACGAAAGGTTGGGGTGAAAAAACTGGAATACAAATAGATACAACTTATCCCTGTTATATTACCTCGACAGCAAGGTCCCTTTTTTTTCTTCCTCCAGTAACCAAGCCCCTCTGTTAAGGAGGCGGTTGGGGCTACGGCTCATGTTAGCAACCTGCAGCATCGTTCTCCACAGCTCACTGAGGTCGGCATATAATTTGATAATAGGACTGAAAAGGACTGCATCGCCCATTTGGAGACGAAGATGAGCATGTTCCTAGAGAGTGCGCGCACCAGCGCCAGCGGCAAAATAAGCGACCGTTTATGCTCTTAATACACAAATTAACGTTGAGAAGTCATGCATTTTCGGTTGAACGAATGTCTTGAGAATAGTTTGGTGCAATGCTGGATATGTTTAGCACAGTCGTCCCTGCAGTTCGCGCCCTTTGCTGACGCTGCTAGTTCGTTGACAACAGCAGAGCCAAAAACTGCAGGGAACTCTGCTTTGATGGTGGAGGCCCTCTTCGGACCAGCAGAGTCGCGCAGCAGGCTGTTGAAGTTCTTTATGCAGTCCGTGTTGACGTTGCCACAGCACAGATAGGCCCTGCCCTCCCTCTGCAGGTCCTCCCACAAGTAGGCCATGGAGCTGAGCGTTGTGAGGAATTGTTTGGGAAATGCCAGGTTTTGCGAGCCCACAAAATTATAGTGCTGGGTGATGTGATGGCACACTTGAATTGTCCTGGGGCTGGATCGGCAACGTGAACAGTGCCATTTAAGGAGTCCTAAAGGTCGCTTACCCTTTCGCAGAACTTAAGGGTGGCGATGGCTTCTATTGGCTCCTCAAAAGCATGCAACAGGGCCAGATGCCGGTGGCGACCTTCTTACTCAGCAGCTGTTTGGCCTGTGCAACAACACGTTCATCGTGCCATATAGTGACTGGGGCTCAGGTACTTCAAAGTCACTCTAGGGGCTAGTCTTGGGTGCAACTCGATGTCCAACCTTATGAAGGCTTTGATGTAGTCACGTTGCACCCAAGATCAGCCCTCGCCTTCCGGAACGACCAGGTCATACTTGATGATGGCGTTCCGGAGGCACTTCAAGAGGTACGGCACATCGGAGATGAAGTAGCTCTTCTTGCCGTAGACGAAGAACCACGGGTCTTCTTCGGTTGCGCCGAGAGGCTGTACCGCCGTGTCATTCATCGCCAGGCCGTCCGTCACGATGCACCGCACCCTGAGCCCCAGGGAAATAACGGCCTCCATGGTGGTCTTGAAGAGGTCCCGGAAGTGGACTCCCGTCAACTTCTTGTTCGTGGGCTGGAACGCCTGCTTCAAGGGTTGCTTCAAGCCGTCATAGATGCCACGTACCATCCTAATCATGACCTCGGCATCGTACGACTGTTGCCGGTGGTGCGGTCGTG